TTGCACAAAGCTCTTTGGGGGCTCAGAAGACAAACAAACAAACAAACAAAACCAAAAACAACTGGTAAGAAAAGAGAGGCAGATTGGAGGCAGATAAGGAAGTGGTGCCTTTGGGGCAAGGGATAAGTTAACTTCCTGTCACTGTACCAAAATGCTGGAGAGTCAACCTCTACAAGGAGGACTTTATTTGGCTCAAGGCTCTGGAGGTTGTAGTCCATGGTTTCCTAGAGCCCAGGTTTTGAGCCTGTGGTGAGACAGTGCCTTATGGTGGGAGCTGGTGGCAGAGGAAGCTGCTCACAGTGCAGGAGATGGCAAGGAAGAGAGAGTCCAGAGGGAGGAGCTGAGACCTACATGTCCCCTTTAACTCATGCCCAGTGCTTTCATTTCCTCCCAGCAAGGTCCCATCTCCTCCCAGAAGGTTCCAAAGTGGTGGCCAGATGTTCACCTCATGGGCCTTTGTGGGGGATTTAAGGTCCAAACTATAGCACAGGAGCAGACATGGAAGGTGGATTAGGGGAGCTATGAGTACAGAGTGCCCAAGAGTGGTGGCCATGCTTGTGGCGGATGCTGCTCACCCTCTAGACTGGGCGGCTTCAGGAAGGTGAGCCCTGTTGCCACACATCGTGTCCCCAGTGCTGTAGAAACTAAGGGTGGCATGGCAAAAGGAAAGGAGCTGCCAGGCAACATCGTGGTTCCTCTTCCTTTGGAAGGGATCAGTTTTAAGTCACCATTAGTGATCACTGAACAGATAAGCTGATTTTGGAAGCTATACCAGCTCTTTCAGAAGAGTTATTTCAGCAATCCGTCCTAGTTCATAAAATTGATTTTGTTGGCCTCCAAAGCTGTTCTGAGATGGACATAAAATTGTTCTTCAATCTAAAAGGAGTTCTTAACTGCCACAGTTGCTGTTTTTCATTGGATTATTTGTAGACACCAATGGCGCGATTGGTGAGTGTTCTCACCAGTGCATCAATCATGCAATTTAATCCCAATTTCTTTGCTACAAATGCTAACAGAACACTCTCTGTTCTCTAGTAAAAATACATGGGAAATACTCAGCCCAAGACACAGGGGTGGAGAAAGACAACTGGCTCTTTTTGTCTTTGCAGGTCAGAGAGCAGGAGCTGGACCCTGGCCCTGGCCCTGGCCCTAGACTCTGAGCAGCAGCATGTGGCTGAAGCAGTCTGGCTGAAGGAAGGCATCCAAAAAAGCTGAGGGTAGTTGGAAATTGCACACAAAATAATAGCAAACGTGCTGTCCTAGCAAAGCGAGCTGAAGCTTCCGGGGCAGGGAGAGGTGAACCCTTCATGCGTGGAGGCTGGAGGTGGGAGGGGAGCTCAGCACCTTCCTTTCAGGCAGGGAGCTAAGGCCTCGTCCTAGCACCAGCTGCGTGCCCCATACAGGAAGTGCTCAGCCTTTGGGACGTCCCTGAAATATCCCACATCTATGTAATGAGCTATCTTGAGGGTGAGACACAGATACACCTTAACATGTGGCCTGAGGGGAGTTTGTACATGACTTTAAACTATCTCTCATGAAACAGCTCCATGTGTGGGACTGATTGTGGCTGTGTGGGCATCAGGACAGTGCAGAGTTCGGACACTTGCAGTTGTGGAGTTTTGGCCCTGGAAACACTGCCATGCACTGCAGTAGCTGTGTTGGTTCTCCGGAAAGGAAACATGGCGATCCCCATTGTGGTGAGGACCCTAACATCTGTCTGTAGTAGGGGGCAGGGCTCTCTAGTGTGTGTGCTGCAGCCTTGTGCATGGGCATCTGGGCAGGTGAGGCACAGCTAGTGGCTTTGCCAAAGCTCATCACACCTTGCATTTCACCAGGGAAGATGCTGAGATCCAAATCCCACGTGCCTGTGTGTGAACCCAGTCGTCTCTGCTCAGCTTCCCCATAGGTCCAAATGTACCCATCTCCCCCTCTTCTGTACTGCCTTGCATGGACAAGAGAGATATAGATGCATATAAAGGGAGGTGTTTAAATCGTATATATTTTAGCAGCCCTAGCAAAGACCATGTAAATTCCAAAGTTGGTATACTTACCGGTGAGGTTAAGACGTGCTCTTGAAGGGCAGAGTGGGGAGGGAGGGAGAGACTTAGGTGGCCGCCCATCCTGCCTGCAGCAGGCACTCTGGGTCACAAAAAGCTGCCCCACCTGCCTGGGTCCACCATGGTGTACCCCGGCTCTAGGATGTGACCCCAACCTATGTGCTCTGTTTCTGCAAAGACTTCCAAGAGCTGCAGAGTAAGGAACAAAGGTCCTTGAGAGTCTGGGAATGACTATTCACTGGTTTCTCCTAAGAAAGTTGGAACAACAGAACAAAATGAACAGAAAACTCCCAGGTGGAAATCATCTTGAAAAATGTGATTAAAAAGCTGCAGTTATGGACCTGTTTGTAGAATCATGAATTTGTGTTCATAGCCTAACATCAAAATATTCTAATACGTGGAAAAGTTTTTAAGAAGCTATGCATCTATCACTGTTTTCTAATGTTTCCTGGCAATTTGCACTCACTGGAGAATTAAATTGATCTGACACAAATTTAAGTTAATTTATTCAATAAGCAATGGCATGTTTTAAGGGAGTCCAAATGATCATACTAATGACAAGCCAGGAGCTCTCTGACGATTAGTGTGGATATGGATAGAAAAGCCCTGGATAGGTGGGGTAGGAGGAAAGAAGGTCCTTTCCAGAGGTCATTTCCAAGAACATCTCACACATTTCCATGACACAGACAGCTGGCAATTCTGTGCAGGGTATGCAAGTGAGAGTCATGTTGTAGTCACCAAGAACAGAAGAACCACCTTGAGAAGTGACTAGAAATAGCTACTGGGGGAGAAAGCAAAGGAAATAATCATGGACTAAATCAGGGATGACTGAAGTTAGTGCTTTCGAGAGTCCCCAAGTAAGAAAAACTTGTCTAAAAATTCAGTGTGAATGTGTTTCCAAAAGATTTTGGTGTAAAAATTATGGTTAGGAATGTTTTTGTGAAAAGGTGAATCTGTTTAGGTGCTCAAAATCACCAAATTGTACTTACAAGCTCTGAGAAGTCCAGAGAAAGAACATGTTCTTTTCATGACCCCAAATTAATTCACTAATCCTGCTGCTCTTGGGAATTTCATCTATCTATACCTTAAAATAGTGCTTCTCAGTGCGTGAAGAGACAGTAAACTGTGGATATGCCTGGGCCTCATCACAGTTTTGAGTTACTAAATTTTGGGAAGACTCGGAAACCTGGATTTTAACCAGCCTCACAGAACACACTGCTGTGTCCTCTGTGTCCACTGCTCTACTCTGGAGCGGCTGGTTGGATTCAACCTTTGCTTTCCTAGCTCCTTGTTCATTAGCATGAAACCTTACCATGGCCCCATGTGTCCAAGCACAGAGCAGGGATAGAAACCAGTTCCTAACTTTGGGGAACTCCCCCATTGCCTGTTTAAACTAAGAATCAGAAACACTGCCTCCACTCCCTCGTCGGCTTTGAATGTATCTGATGTTGGGCAATCAGTTCTTGAAAATCATTACTCACACACCGGCCAGTGCAGACAGAATGAACCTGGGAAAGAGGCTGTCGGCCTCTGGACCGTGGAGTTAACTAGTGTAGGCTTCCTGTGCCACTCACATGGAGCTGGAGTGGGTATCAGATACGTGCGCTCCCTGCCTGAGTGACAGAATGACTCACCTGGCTCTCTTTTCTTAAAATTTTAAGCAATCAGAAATTAGATGTGTTGGATTCCTCACTGCTGTTTCTGTGTGGGTGGCTGATTAGGATAAATAAAATACAGTATCATGTTTAGAACAAATTCTAACAAACCTGTCATTAGTAAATACAACTGGTGCCATCTGTGTTACAAAACTGAGTTCACGAGGCTCTCGTCTGACTGACTCTGTTAGGGGAAAAACTAATTCTTTTGCTTGATGCTACTGAAAGTTGTTTATTCTTAAATTTCTGTGTGAGGTGCTGGTGAAATCTGGGGATATAAAACAATAGCACACTAGTCAAGCAGTAATGTTTAGGAAGCGACATTTAGGCCGGAAAAAACTTTTTGTATTTTACACAAGGGCGTACATGGTGCCTTCATTATGTAAATAAATTTGTTGAGAATTGATTCCAGTTGCAAATATAAATTTGGTTTCTTAAAAAATTGATTTTTGACACTTGCAAATAGTGTAGCAGAATACACGGTGGAGTTCATTCATTTGCACTCACCCAGTGACAAAGTGTGAGGTATTGGCTTGGGAAGGAGTGAGGCAGGGCCTCGTGTGTGTGCTTGCATGTGTGTGTGCTTGCCTGCGTGTGCATGTGTGTGTATACATGCATGCTTGTGCTTAGTCTCTATTCTCACGGTGCGTAGTCATGAAGTTAGGTACACAATAAACAAGCAAGGAATCAAATGTGTGACCAAGAGGAAGCAGGAAATAAGGGGGGCGGAGGAAGGGTGCTGGGATCTTCTGATCTTTGGGAGCAGCCGTTCTGCCAGGGTGCTCGGAGCAGAGCTGAATGAGAGGAGGATCCAGCTATTGAAACCTGGGCAGAATTTAAGCACTGGGAAGAGCAGCCGAAATGTCTGAAGAAAATACGACAAAAGTGTGAAAACCCAGGCTGTTTCAATACCACGGGAGGTTTCCCTCAGCCTGCTCCTAGGCACTGCCGCTCCCCGATTTCCCCAGCAGTGAGCTGGGGGTCTCACCTCCGTAGGGGGTGGTGGGCGGGAGCTCAAGCTGCTCTCCGCGGATGCAGTGTCAGCACCAGCACTGCCTGTTCCTGGCCAGAACTCCCTGCCTCTGGCCTGCATGTCCTGGCCATGACCTGGCTTAGCTTCCTTTGTTGCCCCTCATTTGCAGCGTGAGGGTTTTCGCGGGAAATGTTTCCTTCCTGAGGTTCTCCACCTGACTTTCATTAGTAACTCCTACCAGGAGCTCCTGTTTCCATCCACCACTGCACACACTCCCCCGACACTCAGATTATTAAAAGGGAAAAATACAGCACATGAGGAGATATATTAACAGACTTTATTCACAATAGAGAAGTCTTACAAATATAATTTTTAAAAATTATGTGTCAATCTATTATGTTTCTCATAACATCAGAGGTTTATATAAAGTTGGAAATGACAGGATGGATTTATGTATAAATCAGAATCAATGTAAAAAGTGTATAATACAAAGGAAAAGTTCATGACAAAGAAGTCACAGAGTTCTAAAGACTGCCATACAACTTATGTGTAATATTAATTGCACAAAGTATATCAAAACATATTGCATAAACGCAAAATTAAGTGCTGTTTAAATTGCTCAGTTTTATGGATATGAATACCTATATCATTTCAACTGTAGAATTTTGGTGAAAATGAAAGACAGTGTCTCCCTACAGACTTCAGTTGTTTAACATAATTAACACAAAATATATCTTTAAGTTACATCTCCATAATATTAATCTCTATCTTGTATACATTTTTGGCATTTTGGAACTTCAGTTAAAAAAATGCAAATTCAGAACTGAAAGCCAGGGCTGAAAGATTCACTACAGGGAGTGTGGGGTACACACAGCCTGACCTCACGCTCCACCTGCTGAAGGGGTACAGGTAAGCTCTGTGTTCCCTCAAATCACACTGAAATGCAAGGAAAATTCATTAATATAAGTCACTAGTCCAAGCACGTTCATGTGAAAACTCTAATCTAAATGCATATAGCACATTTGGGCAGTGATCTTTTATATTTTACCTCAAAGTCTTTGGGGAAAAAGACTTGTACAGTCAGTTCTTTAGGGAGCTTGAGATATGAGTAGGAGAAGTTACTTTGAGTCACAGATACATTAACATGGCCATAATGATGTACCCAAGGGACCTCTGTCCCTTAGTGACAATTTTATGGACTCACTCTAACATATACCAATGTATCATACCAAAAAGCAAAACAGAAACAGGCCATACAAACCAGTCCTATTGAGGAGATCTTTGAAACATTTTAAAAGTTGAAATAGCTAAAAGTATTGTTTAAAGAGATCTATGAAAATAATTGTTTTAAAAAATATTGGGCTGAACTATATGAAATTGCTGACCCTGGACAGTTTTAATCTACAAACAGAGTGGCATAGTCCACAACTCTGTACGCTTTGGCTGACCCAGGAGGTGGCCTGTCAGGCACTGGTCTGTCTGACCACCTCGGGGTGGAAATTCAGGCTGCGAGAGTCTTTGTGCCTCAGTACACACAACGTCAGACCAGGCCTTCCGTGGAAATTTGACCCAGGTGATGTGATCTCACCACATCTCTTCTTGGGAAAACTGGTCCTCTTTCCAAACAATGTTTAGAAAAATCAAGTAATTATGCTGATCGGCTGCAGACTGATTGGGGGTGTCCATTGCTGTATGTTGCTTCTAAGTTAGAATCATCATGTTTAATTTAACCATACTAAATATAATCTTATTTGACCTAAGAGTTTATTAGACTCTTTGATTCATGAATAAATACATCGCCAAAGCTTCTCTTACCAAGTCAAATCCCGCTTTCAAATGGAATCATTCATTGCATTTGAAAAAAGATCCTTTATAGACTTAAAAAACCTGAATCAAATGGAATGCTTCTTCCTTCTTGTAAAAATTTAGTATGACGTGGAAACAAATGAACTAACAGCCACATGAAATTACCACCTTCTCTTTAGAGACCCAATTGCTTTACTTATTTGGTTAAAAGCAAAAGGTAGCACATCACCAGGGACACGGTTTCTCTTTAAGAAATGCCACTCACCAGTGGTGGAGCTCGCACAGCCGAGAGCTCGCCTTGCTGCGGAGCAGGGAATGGAAGGGATGAAGCACAGTCCAGGTCCAGAAGGGATGCTGGACACTTAAAGCAAAAGTCGAGAACCAACTCACCCATGAGGACACAGCAATGTGGTCACTCAACCAGCGCATACTGTGGCTGCATGACCTGAGGTCAACATGAGAGGACTCTTTAGGGTTGACTTTCTAGTCTGAGACACAGGGTGAGTGGCGCTGGTTAGGAGACACCCTATCAAATCACCACAGACCCACCCATGGAGGCTGTCCCAGGTGTCAGATCTGTCTCTGGTGGATAGGCCAACCATGTTCACGCAATACTGAAAAGGAAAAAGCTTTTTAGTATTTATTATTATGGCTTTTTGCAACATGGCAAAACATTACAGCTTAAAGCAGATGTCCTCTCCTCACAGAGGAGGAAAATTTTTGCAGTCAAATCAAACAGTAACGAGGAGGTCACTGGAATACCATTCTGCCTACGTGTTTAAGGAAAATGGTACCACAGCTTGATGACCTGCAGCGATAACATTATTCAAACAAACCAGAGAAACTAAATCTGTGACTTGACCGAATGGCTGCGTAAGAAAGGAACAGGAATTTATGTGTATTTATGCCTCATAGTAAACATAAAAGACTGCAAAGCAACCTCAGAACTTAGAAAAACCACAGACTCACTGGTAACAGTTTATCATGTGCCTGATTACCAGGGAAGGGTCCCTTAAGGTATGCAGTGAAGGGAATGAAGCAGAAGAAAATAGAAAATGTCTTTTTATTTCTCTTTCACTTTAACTTCCTTGTTTGCACGGAGTACGGGCAGGACGTGGGCCTCGGAATTGAAGATCCAGTGTTCTAGGGGCAGAAGGTCGTCGTCGGAAAATATTAAGTACAGATATCTGAAGGAGAAACAGGAGCACGTCAGCCCAGAGACAGCGGAAAGCACATGAGTGTCCCTGGGCTGGCGGGACCTGAGGGATGCTCAGGCACCTGAGCGGTGTCCATGTCCCCAGCCACCAAACTCAGGGAGGACTGAAGCACAGCTCCCAGACCCAGACAGCACTGTGTGATCCCAGGCGACACAGACACCTACAGGGAAGATCCACTGAGAACTCAGCCCACCCTCGGGCCAGCACCCATGCTTACTTCAGAGTCTCTGCCAGGAAGAAGCTCTGCTGCACATCGTCATAGCTCTCGTGGACCAGGTACACGTCCCGCAGGCCTGAGTAGCCTCCTGACACCCGGCAGTGATTTTCCAGGGCCTGGGTCACACAGAGGGAAACTGATCAGGAAAGCAGCTGGGAGCCCAGACCGCTGGGCTGTCAGTCAGACAAGCACTCAAGGTGAACAGCAGCTTGTTAACAGTTTAAAAGAAACATCAGAACACAAATGCAAATAAAATATGAAAAACCACAAGATATATGGAGAATATACGGAATGCTTCGACACTCAGTTTTGGAATAATTTGATACCGATTTCCACCATTTCTCCTAGGGGCTCCAGCAGAGTTTGACACAGCAAGGCCTGCAGGGCAAGTCCAGTCCACTGCTTATTTTCTAATATATTTTTCCTGTGACAGCCGTGCTCACCGTCCCCACGTTGCCAGGGCTGCTTGTGCACCTCAGGGATGGAGGGGCTGCACTGAGACCTCGGGACTCCAAGCCTGGCCTGGGCCCTGCACAGCGGCTTTGCTGATGGAGATGCTGCCTGGGATTGTGAGCCACTGTTGAGAACGTGCACTGGACCCAAATGACTTTAGTCAGAACATCTCATTTCTTAAAAATCAGTGATAGACTGAGAATTAGAGATATTGGTACAGAGCCAAACGAAGGAGCTCCGAGGCAGTGAGGCATGTGGCTGGTTCTGTTCCTGAAACGTGTGTTTCCTTTCCTGAGTGTGCTGTGAAAAAGACGGCAACACGCCTATGAGCAGGTGCCTAGCAGTCAATGGCCTCCAGGTCTGAAGCTGCACGGACGTATCTGATGCATGTTTGGAAAAGAGACGCGTAGTGTAGGTAACAAGGACCCTGCCGGTCACTTTGCCACCTGCCAGCAGCTGACTACGGTCACTGTCCTTCCCTCCACATCCCCCTTTCTGTTACTTTTCCCAGCTTTCTGTTACGTGAGTGATGAGCTGCGCATTGGAAGGTCACATGCTGCGGTCAACACCACCATGGAGCTGGTCCCGCAGTGCTGCACACCCACGTCACACATCCTTTTCCTTTACTAGTGCACGTCCCTGACCTGTTGCAGCTCCTCGTGGAGGCTGGGTACGTGTGACACGTCGTGGTCACTCTGGGTCCCCTCCCATCACGCTCCCTTATTTCCAGAAAGTCTGCCGTTTGTCCTACCTGCTCTTTACTTGTGAATGTATTTATATTTTAGACTTTGTTTGGGAGGGAAACCATGTGATATTTATTTTTCTGCGCTTTATCTCACAGCACTGTGGTGCCAATTTCCATCCCTTTTCCTGGGACCAAGGAACCCATCACTGCACAATGACTTGTTTTGCGTGGTTGTTAGTTTGCGTCAGGCCTCTACAGCTGGCTCCTCTTATGACTGAAAGCCTCTCTGGTGGACATCTGCCTTCCTCGCCCATTCTTAGCCTCTTCTAATCGCCGCTCTGCCTGAAGTTCTACACAGACGAGGCATCATGGCGCTTGGCTTTCTGCGCCTGCTGACCTTGTGCGGCACAAGGTCCTCTGTTCACTCCTGCTGCTGGAATGGCAGGTTTCCTCTCTGTGCTTAAGGCTGGGCACTGTTGCGCTGTCCTGTGCCTGCCACACCATTTGTCGTCATCGTCGGATCTGGGATCTGCAACACGGGTGTCCCCTGCGTGTGCTCCCTGGACGGTTGTCCTTGTGCTTCCTGAGGAGCCGCTGTGCCCCTCATCAGGCTGCCCCGATCTGCATCACTGTCATGGTGTACAGAGGCTTGCTTTCCTTTCTCCAAGACACCACCAGTTCCCTCGGGACCTTCCCAGGGCAGCTGTGTTAGTGGGAGTCAGGTGATGCTGCCTTGAGGTTCAGGTTTTTCTCCAGTGATCAACATGGCCAACCATCTTTTCAGATGCCTGTGGCCTTGTGCAGGTCTTCTTTGAAAATCCCTGCTCTGGTCCTTGGCCATTTTGGAAGCTGGTTTTCTGTTGTCATGGTTATCCAGTTGCATGAGTTCCTGTGTATCTGGGATGCTAACCCTTCCTCGGACACCATCACATGTCACTTAGACTACAGGCCACCTATGGGAACGACGTCGTGGCTCTTCCTTTATTTCCTGGCTTGCCCAGAACTTTCCATCTGAGGGTCCTACGTGTTCATCTAGCTTTTGCTGCCTGGAGTGTTAGTGCTAAATCCAACACCTGGGCCTGGCCCTGCCCTGGCTCCAGCAGCCCTCCCGAAGCATTTTTTTTCTGGAAGTTTTATGGTTCTGGGTCAGATATTTAAGCTTTTAACTTACTCAGAGTTGTATTTTGCGCGGTTCTTTTCGAAGCTACATGCAGTGGAGTGCTGGGGCCAAGCGGATGCCCTCTATGCAACTGTTCTATGTAGTCCTGTCAACCACACGCAAAACAACAATTCCCACTGTACAAAAACTGCTACTGGTCTCATTGACTGTGCACACCAACGGCAGAGATTAAGAGCTATTTATAACAGAATAAACTGCAAACCATACGGCTTCACTTAGTTTCCCATCTTTCAGTTTTATGGTTCACAATCTTGTCTTTCTTATACCTAGAGTAATGTCCTACTTTTTCCTTGAAAGCACAGACTTTGCCTTTGGCTAGAGAGAGGTTTGGAGAAAAACACAGTCCAACCCTGCAGAGCCCAGCAGAGAGGGAAGGAGGGCTGGCGAACTCTGTTTCTGCCCACAGGGGTTGACGAGGGGGACGATAATTTCCCATGTGAGTGAACCCAGGGACAGAAAAATGAGAGCAGAGCTGGAGTGGCAGTACCCCTCACTCCAGCACTTGGGAGGCTGAGGCAGGAGGATCTCTAAGAACTTGAGGTCAGACTGGACTACATGGTGAGATCCTGTCTCAGAAATTAAAACAAAGAAAAAAATAGAGAACCAGGCAACACAAACACAGCATGGCATTTGGAAACAGAGAGGCAGGCTAGGTTGGGGGAGGCAGGGAAGGGAGAGGTGACTTCCTTCAGAGGGTCACACAGTGCATGGAAGCTCAGGGTCAGGGACTGAGTGAGAGGGGCAGGGCTCAGAGATCCTCCTGTGAGAGTCCCGCCTGTGCTGGGCCGGCACCTTGATGAATGTCCTCATGAAGTTAACTCCTGGTACTGAGCTATCAAATGTTCACTGTTGGGATGCGATCTGCTATCGACTACAAGCCAGCACCAGGGAGTGTCAGGTGCTGAACTTGGAGGAATTTCAGTTTTCACACCATTACTGGGAAGAGCACTGGAGGACCCCTGTGTGGGGCAGTTTTGGAGCTGAATACCTGGGGTAGGGGTCACCATGAGCAACAGGAGGGGCAATGCTGCCTATGAGGGACCCTGACTCCACTGCTGTCTAGGTCTGAGTCCACGGAAACAATCACTGGGCTTGAGGCTGTGCTAACTAACCTCGAGCTCAGCCTTGGAGGACAGGGCTGGAGTCCAGGTCTGCAGAGGGCAGAAGGGGCAGCTGGCAGAGGGGCTGCGTGCAGACGAGTGGGCAGCCAGGGGCCCCACACTATCCCCAGGTGCAGTGCACCATGGGCCTGCTCGGGTTTGGTCCCTAAGCCACCCTGGTGACACTGAGCCAGATCACTGCACCGGGCAGGGCTTGGCTCTGCTTGGAATCCTGAACTGACTGGGGCAGCTGCTAAGCGTACAGAGCTGAGGCTCTGGGTAAAGGACGCTGCACTGAGTTTAAGATTCCCGGGGTCCTAGTTGGCGGTTCCTGGGGTACTGGGGGTGACAGCAGGAGTCTCCAATGAGGGGATGCAGGAGGCGAGTAGGTGCATCCTCAGGTCGGTGCTTGCAGCCCTGCTCTACAACCTGGGCAGGTGGGATGGCCACCTACGGATGCCCAATGGCTGAAGCTTCCCCTTCCTGGCCTGGCTTCCGGCTGCAGTCTTTGGGCCTGAGCAACAGAGCAGGAGAAGCCTGGGGGCAGAGGGGACACCGGGGTGAGGAGAGATTTCCTGGAGAGCAGCACTGTGGGCTCCCTGGGGCGATGGTGGAAAGGCACCACCCCTGTGGCACAGGGGACGGGATGCAGCATCACCTCACAGGTCCTGCGGCAGAGCTGGAAGCCAACCCGTCTTCCCTGAGAAGCAGGCAAGCCAGCCTGGCCCCGGGCGGGAACGGGACTTCCTTCTTTGGCCTGCTCCACATTCCCCGCCTTTGGGCACCTATGGAGATGCCAGGATGCACTTTCATTGGCAGAGGTGTGGTTTCTTAGTGACAGGGAGAATTCTGATGCTCTTCCCAGTCAGGGATCCCTGTATTTGATGAAAGGTGTTATTCTCCATATTTTTTATTTCCACTCGTATTTGCAACTTAAACTCTTAATTCCTTTGCTGGACAACTTAATATTAAAATAATTCTGTACCACCCACCAATGCTTACTTGAGCCTCAATGTCAACATTTTTTTTCCCCAAAGAAAAAATAGGGAATTTAAAGAAACAGGAATTGCCTGGGTTAAACACAATTAGAAAACTGTGCGTGAGTACTTCAACTGTTATTACTGCAAAGGACTGGTGATTAGTGATGAGACACACACTTTTCCAGGAGGGTAAAATGGAAGATTCATTAATGACTTCTAAAGACAGTTAAATTTCACATGAGGGCAACATGCATTTTTGTTTCCTGAGTTTTTCCTAAGACAGCTCGTAAAGGTAGCTAACTTTCGAACAAAGAATGCTAGAGAATGAGACCGCAATTAAAGAGTCACTTGTTCTCGTCTCCCAAATTTCCTCCCAGTTCTTCAGAACAGCGCTTAAAATCAGTTTATGCGTATCCTGAGGGCCACTTCCTCCAGCACCTGACACTCAAAAGTGCCCAACTTACTAGTTTAGAAGATGGTATCACACCAAGCAGGTGAGGACCCACAAGATGACAATTAACACCTTGGGATGGACAGAAGCTTATGACACTCAGAGGACCCAGACTAATGAAGGAATAGCCTCATGGGCTCCTGCTTCTCCAAGTTATTCCTGAAGTTACATCTTAGTAACTAATTTACCCTAAGTGAAAATATACACTATCAATTTCAACCCCTAAAAAGGGTTCTCAGAACATACAGCAGATGAGGTGCCCTCCACCCCAGTCAGCAGTGACTCTGGGGAATTTTGCACTGATCATCATCTCTCTAGTCCTGGGAACTTAACATTATAACGTCCCTTCTAGATCCCCCCACCAACACTCAGGCATGCCTGCGAAGCCACGCTTCACTGTTACTTATACAGCAAAGCTGAGGTTACCTGCATGGAGTGATTTAAATGGAAACACCTGGTCCTGAATGAAATCCTGGCCGAGGGCTTAAAAATCACAGGGAAGTTGATATGCTACCTGTATGGGCATGGCTCGATATTCCTCACAAAGCTGTGGGTCAGTAAGAAACATGCAAGTGAAAATCTCACCTCCACAGCCTCCCAGGCCCACTTCCGGTACTTGGGATCATGGGTCAGCCGCCACATGTACATGTACGTCTCGATCACTTCTGGCCGCAAGATGTAGTATTTTTCATTTTGCCTAGTGGCAATGGCTTCCACGCCACCATCAAATCTGAAGGCTTCTGGCCCCAGCTTCATAACTGAGGGGAAATGAATGGGCGAGCAAGGGTCAGCATCCTGGGGGAGGCTCAGTGTCCACTACAAAGCACTTAACAAGCCTCCGGATGATGTCCAAGTATACACTTTAAGACTGTTATGAACATCATGCAAAATTTAGTATTCCACATATCTTTACAGTTTAGACATTTAAAATTCTGTTTTAGAACTGGCAACGTTCCTTTCCTTTCCCCACGGAACCCCATTTACTGAGCACCTGCCAGGTCAGTGCCTGCACAAGACCTCTTGACAGCTGGAAGCTGAGTGGCTGTGAACCCATCAGCAGGTCTTGGGCAGGTGTTTAACCTCTCTGCCACAAATTTGTATTGGATAAAAGGAAGCCAGACTGGTGGCCTCCCTTCAGGGTAGGGAGAAGACGAGTAATGGTCGTGAAGATGGCTTCTTTTTGTTTTGGGACAGAGGCCCTTACTCAGTGTTACTTAAGTGGAAATCCAGATTCCTCCGTGTATTAACCATGCCGTCACATTTCACTACCCCCCGTCCCCCCCAAGTGCCACATGGAATGAAATGGAGGCCAGGGCCTGGGTGTCCAGGACCAACAGCCACTCACAGGTGCGGTTGTAAGACTCGTGGCAGGTGCGTGCGATTTCAGCTCCTAGCTCCAGGTAGTGCCTGGCCAGGGCTTTGGGCGCTTCTTTGGCCCCGAGTGCGAACATGCCCCCAGCGAAGCAGGTCAGATGGCCCATCTTGTGTTCTAGGAGGCCGCCCTTCCACTCCGCAATGTAGGTCAGCCCCCCGCTGGATTTGTGGATCAGGTGATTCTCGATGGCCTGAAGTAAGGAGAAAGTGGTCGAGGTTATGTGATCTTGCCTCACATTCACACTGAGCACTGCAGAACAGCGTGACTCACAGCTTGAGTGTGGAGTTAGAAACCTAATTCAACACGAAACTTTCTGCTGCTGAATCCCTCTGGCTCATTCCTCATTGCTTTGGTCAGAATTTACACTTGGGCCAGCTTGCTCCACGACCTGACATTCAATTGGTTTCCAAAGCCACCCATCAAGGCAGGCCAGTGCACCTGCACATCACAGATGTAGACAGCACACACGTGGGCACAGGAGCCACCCACGGCACTGGGTGGCAAACCAGGGCTGGCAATGAGCAGGGCCACTGGTTGTGATGGGCCGGTCACAGGGACTCGGTAACTGTGGGGGTCGGGTGGCCACCCCCAGTCCTGCACCTGTCGCCAAGCAGGGAGTGTGGCTCTCGGAGCATCTGGCACAGGAGCTTGATGAGGGCCCGCTGAGCCCTGCAGCTGACACCAATCTTTGGCACAAGAGCAAGGGGATTTCCCAGGTGGGCTCAGGGCCTATGTCAAAAGACAGTGGTGAGGAAGCTCTGCCACTGTGACCCACTGGGGCAGCGGCCCTGCTGCACTCCGCGGGGAGCTTCTTACCCTCGGCCGTAAAATGAGAATAAAGCTAAGAGCACAGAGGGTAGGCAGTCCGGAAACCCACACCTGTGGAATCAAAGTCACGGCCACTGTTACACCTCCAGTGTGGGGACACCTGCAATGGAGTTCTCCCTCCCCATCCTACTGGACAGCCGGCAGGCCGTGACCTAGTACGGCTGCCTTCCGTTTTATAGGCTCTTTGGCCCTCTGGTCTGGTCTTCAATTTGCATATATGGTAATTAGCTTTCTAAGGTCTTAGATAAATCTGATGCTGGAAAAATAAAAGAGGGTGGAGAGAAAGGGGGAGAAGCATGGTAGGATGCAATGAGTAAGTCTTTTAAAAAAAGAATCAAGATGGTCAAACCTGGGAGAAATGATAATGCTTTTCTAAAGATGTTTTAAAAAATATTTCTGTCAAGAACTGTTGATTTCCTTTAAAACTAGAGAAATACAATAAACCTGATGTTTAAAACACAAAAATGAAACGTGTTTGGAATTTGTAATTTCCAACACCTCGTAGAAAATACCTCCTGCTCCTTCCTACCTTTACAGAAGGAAAAGCACTATGATTGTGTGTACACCTGTCATTACTTAAAAAAGGTGGGGAGCTTTTCAGAAATCACATTTTGGAATAGCAGAGAATGAATGAAAGTGAATACACAGGCAGCCAAAATCTTTCTTACCTTTATTACAAATGAACAAATAAACCCCAGGCAGTGAGGAACAAGCACAACCATGCTCACTATCTGTGATTAATTTTATTGATGGCCTAGTTATTACAAGAATGCTTTATCTGACTTAATGCTATTGAACATCTTAGCTATTTATACTTCTCATAACACAAATTGCAATAAAGTCTTCCAAGCAGATACTGTTCATCACCTGAGAAAGTTTTCTCTCTACAGGGCAAGAGTAATGGCTTCAGAGCACAGGTTAGAGAAGCATGCTACCCTGCGCAGGGTCCTGAATAAAGTACTCTGTTATGTTTGGCCAGATTCTGACCAACTTGTTACCTGTGAAAATAAACTCCAGTGAAGTTTTAAGACTTCTGAAGTAATGGTTTTGTGTAGAAACAGAAAATGTAAATAAAAGAAGCAGCAAACAATCTTTAGTGGCTCTCACAAATTTCTGCAACAAGGCTACAGAGAACTGACTGGGAAGCGGGCACATTCTATATTTTGTAGTTTACCACTTCCATATTTGAAGTTAGTCTGATGAAGCCTTTGGAATCTTAAAGTCTGATGCATAATCTGCCCAGGTGGGTTCTCAGTGTGGTCTCCAGATAAGGCCTTAACAACTAGCTGAATGCTGCAAGTATTTTGTCATTAAAGCAATCCCTCCAGGACTAAAGGCGTTCTGCAATCTATGCAGAGCAAATACTGACATCCACGCCTCCAGCAAGCCAACTGCCCAGAGCAGTACCGGAAGCACCCTTCCCTTGGTAAGGACTGTTGTTTTTCTTTTTGTGAGATGAGGACCTCACTATGCTGCCCAGAGTGGCCTTGGACTCCTGGACTCCAGCAATGCTCCTGCCTCAGCCTCCCACATAGGTGGTGCTACAGGCATGCACCATGGCCCCGGCCCCGGTTGCTCTTAAGCCTCAGCAGAAGGTGCACTGTGGAAGGCAATGCTACTTCCCAAAATCACAAGTCTAGTTGTTGTAGTTTCACTATTTAAGTTGAAACACACCACAGACAGGGAATGTTTTCACTGTGAAGAGAATACTTGGACGTCACTGGTTCTTCATGAGTTTTACTGTCAACCACTTGTCTAAAGAGAAAATGCTAAAACCTTGGGTAAGTAGAGCTCTAGACACTGGGAGAAGATTCCAAAGATTGTTCTGAAGCTGCCTGTGTTGGAACATGAAGACCATGGAGGCCATTCTGAAGATAACTGAGTGTCTAAGTGTAGCAGTCGCAAGAGAGCATCATGGAGGCCATACCAGTGGAGAACACACTAGATGCAACCCAGGCCCTCGCAGGAGCAAGAACAAACCTCCTGGTGTCAAGATCCCAGGGCCATGGCCCAGCTGCTTCAGAAGCCCCATGCTGGCCACCCTTACTGCAGCTGGCCCAGGGAAGGCAGCGCCCTAGGCCTGCGAGCCCATCAGGAAAAGCAGCCCATACCTTGCCTGGTGAGGCTGCCAGTGATCTGGCAGAACCATGAGCATGCAGCCCATTACCCAGCTCAGCGCCAACCTCGTCTACACAAAAACAAAGAAGTTGAGTGGCGGCCCTGAGAGCTGAATTCAGAACAGCGGCTGCACTGGTGACCCTTTGCACTGCAGAGAACTAGCATCACTTATTATAAAACCATTTCCTAGGAGGAGAGCAGTGTTCCCTCCAAGACCTGTGTCTGGAGGCTCCAGAAACCATTCTGGGACTCAAACACCAGTTTGTTCAGAGCTTCGTGCGTGGATCCCCTCACAGTAACATTCACTTGTCTGAAGACAAAGGTAACATGGGGGCTGTCTGCACTTTCAGAATATAAAGTCATCTGTCAGAATATAAAGTCAAGGTTTTTCTCCCACTATTGTAAATGCAGGTCTAGGGAGGGAACTCAGCATGAAAGGAGTCCCGTATTGCTTGAGGAAGAGATAGGTTCTGGGCAAAGCGGGTGGCGACCTCCCGGTGTGACAGGACAGTGCGCACTTAAACCTAGCTGGCAGTGATGTCTCAGACAACAGCCTCCAGGACACTCACATGTGCAGTCTGTTCGTGACCTGGATGCTATATGGCTCCTGATCGAGGCTCTTTTTCAGATCATCAGTGCTTCATATATGAATGACCATGTCAAAAACTTTCAACTGCCTGATCAGAACTAAGTTCGCGTGGCATGATTTTTACTGTAATACTGGCAGCCCCCAACTCTACCTAATTGAAAATGTTTGGGAACTCACTCATGTAATATTCCACTTTCCTCATGAAGGCTTGATGAATGTGCAACTTATGAGAGACAGCTGAAGATGACTTAAGTATTGGTTACCTGAACAGCATCAAAATACATCTTCTTAGCTTCCACATCTGTCCTGTCAGACATTAGCCAGGCCTTGAGCAGATACTCATAAAAGCTGTCTCCAAGTCCTCCGACTGACACATGATCTGAGAGAGAGGGAAATGAAGGTCAATGACTGGGCCTTACGTCACAGCGTGTGGCAAAATCACATTAGCATGGAGGATTCAAAACCCCACATCCACTGTAGCTCAGCGCTGCGTTTACATTTGGACATGTCTCCTGCTGTGGGAAAGCTGTGTGGAGATGAGATGGTTGAGCAGAGGCGAAGGCGTCTTAGGCATGGTCAGAGTAGCTTCACAAATGTGGTGACAAGGAGACATAGTCCCCCTAACTCAAATTCTGGTTCTCCAGCAAAAGCACCGTTAGTATTGCACAGTGTGTATTCTAATGCATTTTTTTTTCTCAAACAATGTGAAATTCTGTCAAAGCTATGAATGTGAGCAGATCTTTTTAAAGAGTGACTTGGAATAAAGTGAAGTGCTCCTCGGATTCTTGCCTCTGTCCCCTTTTCAGTGTTACAACCCGAGCAGTCAGGAGCCGACGGAGTGGAGGAGCAGGGAGGAGGAGGGCGCAAGTGCTTCCTCCTGACCTCACGTGCCCTCCCTGCCGTTGGCTGTGCCTGCTCCAGCATTTGCTGCCAAGCCTGCAGCTGCGGGCAGGGCTCAGGGCTCCTGATTCCGAAGCAAGGGGATGGAGGCTCAGGCTCCAGAGCTCAGCCAGACGAGTGTTGGCTCTTCCCCCGCCCACGGGGCTCAGGTCTGGGTCTGCCTGTTCTCTGCTGTAAAATGTGTAATATTGGGCTCAAAATAATTTTTTTTATTTTTAAAGCATATTTCTTTACAAAGCCAGAAACACAACTTGTTTGAAACATCATTCCAAGAATTGAGCTAATTTCAACGTTTATAAATTAGTCATTCAACATTTCACAACTCAAAACTGCTTTTCTCCGTTAAAAATGTCTTTCACCACAGTTATGCAAAAGCAAATCAGTATTTACACAGAGAGCTCTGATGCCTGCTGGGAGGCTCCTGCGGCACCGCATGGGCATCGAGCTCCAAGGGCTGGACACCGAGCTCAGCATCTTCTCTTGACTTCAGCTCTGCCCAGGCCTCTCTGTCTCTGAGGCCATCAGCGGCATTGGGTGCGGACCGTAGGTAGGAGCCTGGCTCAGCGCTTGAGGCCTAGGTTTAATCTCCAGCAGCAAAACAGACAAACGATGGTCACCCTCATCTCTGCTGTCGCTCACCAGCCCCCGAATGCCACTTCCTGCACTCCGAGCCCACCGACCCTTCTGTCCTTGGCAGTGCCATCCTGGCTGGTGCTGCCCCGCCCCTGTCTCTGCATTTGCAGTGCCTGTGAATGTCTTGCTTTTCTTGCGGCGTGGGTGTTACTGCCATTGAAATCTACTGAAGCACACAACACTCAGCAGTTCCATGTGCCCTTGGCTGCTGCACAGGAACGCGATGACCCGGAAGGCCACCTGCGCTGTAGGAGCTTGGGCCTGGGCTCCCACCCTGCGCGTGCTCAAAAGGCCATCCCAGGCCTCTCAGTCTCTGTCGCGGCTCAGAGACCCCGTGAGAGCCGGCCTCCACCACACCCCGTTTTTGCCACGTTTGCTGTCTGATCTTCCACCACCTGAATCCTCCAGGCCCTCCTGACTCCTGGAGAACAGTGCACGCTGCATGTCAGGGGCCCCCACAACCTCAATCTCCACCTGACGTATGCATGCTTCCCCCCCGGAGCTCCGACACCCACGGTCCCCACTGCTACTTCTGCAGCTTCCAATTATCATCTGTCTCAAGAGAGCCAAGACTGGGACCAGGTCACCCACCCTGGGCCACATCAGCCCTCAGGAAGTAGCTTGCCCTCAATACACAAGCAGGGGACAAGTGAAAATCCTCCTAAATCACCCTTCATCAGGACAGCACCCTCAGGCCAGAAGGATCCGTTTTGACTCCTTACATGTGCAATTTCCTTACTGCAGAACTATAGTTATATTCATTAATTTTAATGGAAAAATGCGTTTTTCAGGTTGCAAGTCTAATTCTTAAAATAGCAGGGTTCAAAGTGACCTTTACAGCTTCCTAAATAAATCACCGCAGGAACCTCTGACATTTATAAACTAAATAGACTGAGTACCAGCTCATCAATAACAAGCCCTCTCACTGGAATCATGATCGCAGGAGACAAATGCAGGTGATGCATGGGGACATAAACCACTGTCCGGTGACTGTCACTGCACAAAGGATAGTAACAGGGAATGATGCCCTGATCCAGACGCGTCCTTCAGAGTTAATGCAGTGAATTGAAGACCAGCAGCCAGAGCAGTGTGGCTTCCCCCAGGGTTACAATTCCATCACGGGTAGGAGCAGCAAGTTTGGTCTTTGGAGATTTGTTTTAAAAAGGGGTCAAACAGTGATGTTTGTTCTAATTAATTTTGCTAAGTGTCAGTTTCTTTATGCTCTGCTCATAAAATTTCACATTTGGAAAAAAAAGGAAGCAGCAGAGGCGAAAACACAAGTCCTTGATAATGCAGCACCTGCTCACTGAGCAACCTGTGCAGGTGATGGTTGGTGGACGGCGGTTGGTGCAGGTGACAGTCCCCCCAACAGTGCAGCGGACCTGGGGGAGGGGCGGGGTTCGCAGCAGGCAGAGGCCCCCACTGTCAGAACATTGTGATGTTTCCATGCCTGGCATGTCCTATGGTACTCACTCACCTTCCCAAACCTGAAGTAACCCCTTACCAACATCAGTGCCCACACACACGCACGCACATGCACACACACGTTACAGAAGGTCAAGTACTCTGTGTGCAGACACAGAGCCCACAGCCAGCGCTGAGGGTCAGAGCATGTGGGTATCACTGGTGGCCTGATGCTGCCTCCGAGCCATGGTTGAGCAGTGAGAGCAACTTTGGAAACAGGAACTAGAGCTGTTACCAAAGCAGAGGCAGAAAGACATGCACAGAGCTCACACGTCTTCCCAAAACTTCAGGAAGGAAACACGGACGAAGCCTGAGACACTGCAGTGGATCGCCACGTGTGCCCGAGCCTGGCCGCCCCATCAGAGCTAGAAGGGAGGTGCCAGCACCTCCCCTCCCTGGTAAGCAGAGGCAGGGTGGCAGACTGCAGCCCTTCCAGGGGGAGACCCAGCAGTGTCTCCTGAGATCCACGCCATGTTGGAACTGAGGACGCTGTCAAAACAAATGACCATTCTGCCTCCCTGCTTAGCAATAGTGAACCTACTGATGCTGATGCCCGGCCTAGAACCAAGTATCCCATTCTCCTATCCTCCTTCTCCTCCTGCCCCCCCCCCACCCATTAGCAAATGGGAACCAGAAATCTGAGCATCTCCTGGGAGGTTGACCATAGCAAATAACGGGGACTCCCTTCCACCATTTATTTGAAGGCAAATATTTTTATTACTGTTTTGCTCTTTTCTGATTAATGGTACTGCTCTATTCAATATTCTGTTTTGATAAGTTCTATAGTGTTCTATATTTCATCTCATTTTGATATACGGGATTGAAAGAACAACTATTATAAAGATAACAAAATATACTGTGATACCAGTTACTTTTATCCTGGTAACCTGCTGTGAAGTTCTGTACCAATTTCACTGTACGATCTTAGTTGGCTTTATTCTGTCTTGTTCTGTTGTATACTTTCAAAATAAAAATTAAAAAAAAAAGAAAATGGCAGAGCTCTCAGAAGAAGATGGGATGTGTGTGGTTTGGCAGGAAAGGGGTCATGACAGGAAGTACTCAAGTGCAGCGGGGCAGGAGAGGAAGCAGGTGAGCAGGAGTGGATGTCAACATCTTCCCTGCGGGGCCTGGGAGAAGCTTCCAGAAGAAATGACAACCAGGTTGGCGTCTGGTGCAGGCAGGGGAGGCAGCAAGGCCAGGGGGAGAGCCAAGTAAAGACCAAACACAGCCAAGCGGCCTTGAGTAAAGCAGGCAAAACTAAGTCTTCTCAGAGCTGGAACACAGCCGTGGGGAGGGGAAGGACATGAGGCTAACCGGTTCCTGTGTTTCCTTCAGGAGACTACCCACATCGATCCACACAGAAGGGCATCCTGCGCCAGGGCACCCAGCTGAACACAGAGCACAGTGACCCAGGAGGGAAGCCGGTGTTTGTCCCTCTTCAGTGACTTCCAAACCCCACAGAAAGAAACAGTGAATCCGAGGGGCTCTTCTTCCGTCACCACCTCAGACCTCTGCTGGGTGACCCTAGAAGCAGTCGCCCTGCTGCAGAACTGCCGTCTTGTACCTCAAAACTCTGGTGGTCCTCAAACTTCTTAACTCAGGATCTTATATGCTTAAAAAAGAAACAAGCACCCTGAGAAATTTACTGATGTGAGCACTGCCAGTATTTACCATATTGGAAAATTAAAACATAATTTAAAAATCTTTGTGCTGATTCATTAAAACAGCAATTATTATATCCAGTTAATATAAATAGGTATTTTTCATAAAATGCTATTTTTACAAAAAATAGTGGGAAGACGGACCCTGTTTTATACTTATGCGAATCCCCGTCATGTTTGTCTTCCTAGAAGGCAGCCAGGCTCCCACATCTGCTCTAGCTTCCGTCAATGGCCAGTGTTGTACTGCTAAAACGCACAAAGGGTCATCACACACATTTTCCGACTGGAAAAGTGTTTTAATAGCCTTTTTAGATAACTGGAAATTTCTTTTTGATACAAAACTTGACAAGTGGTTTTCTAAAGTTAAGGTTTTCTTTAGAAGGTGAGTTGCAGTGTAGAATTAGGAATTACTAAAAATTTTGCTCTCACTCACATTAGGGTCTCTGGGGCTATCTTGTGGGTGAGTGGACATTTTTCTCATGCATGATTCTGCAACAGCAGCACTGGTCACTGGGAAATATTGTGCCCCTGAGTTACATAAATTGCCCAAGGGTTGATACATTTCACTGCAGGACATCACAGCCCATTTGTTAACATCACCACCGGTCTCATCAGCAGACTCCTGGTGTCAAATTCCTAGGGGCACATCCATGTTTTCCAAAAATCTAATTTTTAGTTAGAAACTCGACTTTTATCAGTGGCTTGAGTTCTGTCACTTTTCCTTACAGTGACAGGCTCATTTTTGAGAACATGTCTACCAATTACACAGTCTGAATAACCGGTTTGTTTTTAGCTATTCTTCCAAGTGAACACAGTGACCATGAAACAACGGTCACGATAATCCTAAGGCAGCCAACAGTCAGCAGGTGACAGTGATCCCGCCACTCCATCGCGGTGGAGAGCCTGTCCTGACATCCTTTCCCGCTGTGGAAGTGCTCTGCACAACTTCCTTCCACTGCGGGAAGCACCCACTCCACGAATGTGGGCGGATGGGCACAGGGTCAGCAGCTGTCTCCCCATCCCAGGCGGAGCTGGCTTTTAGGGTGGTGCAGAGCACAGCCACCTGCACCTCAGTCTCGTGGTCTCTACACTTTCACCCACCTCCCCCAGCGGGTGTGAGACGCCAGCATGAGAGGCAGGGAGGCCCAGCATCCTCAGAAACATGCTTGAGCTGGTGCCCTCTGAATGGCCATGGGGATTCCACTGTCTGCAGACCATACTGACAGCGAGGCCTTTGGCGACCGCTGCCAACACACAGGTGGGGCTGTCAGCTCACTTCCCCTAACTAAGTTATTCTTCTTGGAAAGACTTGAAAGGAGCACTGTGGCGTGGCCCTCTGAGGATGTGACCCTTAAATACAGGTGCCAAGCTAGAGCAAGATTTGAAGGCAGTGCGCAGCCCTTCCCATAGCTGCACATTCACTTAAAGTTCTTCACTGGCTTTCGGCTGCTGCTTAACCCCACCACTGCATCTTCTAACTGGCCTGGGCACCCCCTTCCCTTATTCTGTGTCTTCAGACCCCTGCTCAGTGCCTGCAGTCAAAAGTGAGCGCTTCTAGCCTCAGAAGTCTTTGTGTGACACTCACTCCCACTCTCCAGCCAATCTACCTGGTAGCTCAACACTAAATGCAGAAAGCACTGTTTGTGCCCCAGCTCCACAAGGAAAGAGAGAAAATGTTAAGCGGTAGGAGGACCAAGCTACACGGTAAAACCCTCATCGTGGTAACCCTTCCCCTCCCCACTTGACTAGCGTCTTACAGCCTGATGCGCCCGACGTGATCTCTTTCCAGCCAACGCCCGCTTCACATGTGCTCACACACGCCCATACGCGCAATTCCCTGTGGACGTGACATGCTGCTCCACCAGAGCCTGTGTGCTGCGGGAGCCCTGCACTCCACATGCCCAGCCCCATGGCAAGCCGAAGGGATGAAGCACTTCAGACTTACGTTGACCCCACTGTCCACTGCTGGGGTTCAGATAGTTAGGGTAAAGGCCTTTGGGTTTCTTCAGCTGGTTCAGTACTGTCCGGATCTTCTTGACCTACAACAGAAAGCGAAATGTTACTATGAAAATGGAAAAAATTCTTGTGCCATTTTCTCTCAGGATAGTTTTCCACTTTACACAGAAGAGCTGACATAAATGTTGAGTTAGGACAAAGCTGGCTGTCATGGCTTATTAACCTCACAGATCTAACAGCAGAGAGTGAGACAGTCCTGGGGCTGACACCTCTCACACCCAGGGCCCACACAAGGAGGGCGGAGGAGGGCAGGGGGTAAAGGCAGTCGCTGCTCCTGGGACTCCACATTCCAGTGGAGTGATACATCAAAAGAGATAAATGCTGAGGAAAATATAAAAGACAGCACCTTGGATTAAGGAGCATCCCTTTCCCAAACTGCCATGAGGACCTCGAGCCTTGGCAGGAGGCAGCTAGGTCAGCCGCCACAGCCTTCACAACGAGGTTAGTATTCTCACATTAGAGACTCCAGAGGGTGCTCCCCCTGCCTGCCTGCGCAGACAGCAAGGCAGAAGCCCTGGAAGGACCCGATCTCTGCACACCCTGATCTCGGTTGGCCTCCTCAGCCTCCAGGAACGATCTCGGTTGGCCTCCTCGGCCTCCAGGAACCATGGGAAACACTTCTCTGTTGTTGAAGCCACCAGGTCCTGGCAGGCCATCCTGTAAGCCCAAGCTGAGTGTGGCCACCAGAGTAGCACGACAGGGCAGTGGAGCCAGGCTGGATGGTCTGAGGAGGTGGAGCTTAGAAGGCAGGGCAGAGAACATCACCTTCTCAGCAAACACCGGGTTCCCCGACAAGTGGCTCAGGTGCATAAACTCCAGGTGCAGTGTCCCAAATTCTGCCAGAATGCTGCTGCCTCCGGAGGCCCAGGGCCAGTTCCTGCCGATGCCGCTAAAGAGAGGAAGGTAGAGAGTTATCAGTCAGACAGGGCCAGCTCCCAAGGCCTGGGAGGAGCAAGAAGCATCACAGTTAACAGTACACGGAATCAGCTGGGTTTTGCGGCTGCTGGTTTTAGGCTTTTATTATATGCAAAGGGAAAACTAGTGTTGACTTACAGCATTGCTGCTTGAGGCTGATGAATGCATATTTCAGAAGGTGCAGCTGCGACACGGAGAGATACAGTGATTTGAAGCAGAAAATAAAGCTACCCCAAAACACCGCACACCCTACTCTGCACAAAACCTTTGCATGTTTTAGTTAATGTTGGCCTGAGATTCTGCCGGGGCCTAGACCGTGATGTTCCAAAGCCTGTGTGTGACAGCAGCAGGCAGGCAGGAGGTGTGTGTCACGGGGCCTGTCCTTCCCGTCTCTTCTTCCTGATTACTGTGGAGACAGCAGCTTCCTTGTGCCACGAGATGTGGGCTCACCACAAGTGCCACGGCAACTTTACCCACTGACCGTGGACTACACCTCCTACTGCGAGCCACAGCCAACTACTCTTTTTAACTTGATTATCTCAGGGACTTTATTACAGTAAGGGAAAGCGAAGGTAGACTGCACGAGAATCTGGATGTGTGTAACACAGAGTTTCATTTCAAATATTTATTATGTATTTAGATCTTCTCCAAGTCCTTCCACTTACTAGATTTCTGTTCTTATGTTTATCTTCATATTATTTCATTTATTTTCCAAATGTGTTTTCTAAGACACTACCTCATTCCCTATCTTATTTAATCTATGCTCAAGAATCTCAACAAAACTGTGTTGTTATACAAATGTAGATGAGGTTAAAGGCACGGGCTTTAAATATTCTTGCCTGGTGGTTTATTGTTTTCTGGGAGAAATGCTTTTGTTTTTATTTTTTATCTTTTGCAGTGCTGGGGATCAAACCCAACACCTCATGCATGCCAAGCAAGAGCTCTACCACTGAGCTCTACTCCCCATCTGAGAAATACCTTTCCAAAGAGCTAGTCTTTTACAGAAAGTTATAATATGTATACACATAAATGCACATGAACCAACTCTTCACATGTGGCCAGACTCTTAAGTATACTTTGTTTCTGGAGAACCATTTAAAACTTAAGAAATATGTGGTAATTCAAATGAGTAAAAAAGTCAATTATACTTCTGACCAATAAATTTCTCATCTGATACTTAAATATGCACATTTTTGGGTCAGTTCAGATGGACATTTATTGCAGGCACTGTGCATGGCCCTGGCTTATAGGCACAGGCATAAATCATTCTTTTCTCAAACATTTTACAGTGAGATGGAGGCAGAGACTGAAGCACAAAGAATTCTGGTGGAACATGGCAGACACCAAGACACACACGTGCGGGGTGGGGTGGGGTGGGGTGGGTGTTCTGCGAGTGCCAGGAGCCAGGGTCTACGATGTGATGCATGGGGACTATAGCATGGTTCTGCAGAGAGGGCTCTGAGGTGCTTCTCGAGGCCGAGCATCAGTGGGGACAGAGGGAGACCCAGGACAGAAGGACTGACCAGCAGCCAAAGCTGGGCCAGCTCCCGGAGGCCTGAAGTCTTCACTCTTCTCTCTTTCCAGGTCCCACTGAAACGCAGCTCTCGCTGCTGTCCAAACTTTCCTAAGACATCCTTTGCTTGGGCAGAGCCTGCCAGTCCTGCCCCTTCCTTGCTGCCAGGCTGCGGAGAGGGATGAAGAAAAGCCCAGAGGGAAGCGGCTGGGGTCTGGATCCCGGGCTAGCCTCACACTGCCTGCTCTTTTTAAAGTCCAACCCCGATTTTCTTCCGAAACACAGATGCACAGTGTACCTGATGAAGGTACAGACACCTGGAAACAGAGCCCTGAAGATCAGGTACTTGTGTATTTTAGAAAATGTCCTGAGTTTTTAGGTTTTGGGAACCTGTCTGCTCTTATTTGTGTACCTGACTTAGATAGAAGGAATGTCCAGCCCTTTACAGGGCACAAACAGCTACTACTTTCTGATTTTAGTAACACATAGCCATGCACAGAGTAGCTGGCCATTCATTCATGTCGCATTGTGACACATCCATTGTGTTCCAGGCATTTTGTCGCTGAATCAAGTCGATAACCTATGAAGCAAAATGAGAAGTTTCTATGTTGTGGAGAAATAATAACACTGTCACTGAAGCTTCTTGGGGTAAGAGGGATGGATGACAGCTTCATGCTGCTGGGAAGGGGGAAGCCGCACAGGGTGCTGCCAATCGCCTGCACTCGCTCCGAGCTTACAGCTTGGCAGTGTGGACAGCACACATGCAGGTGCAGGCTGAGTCTGAATGTGCTACACAAAGCTCAGCTTGCTTTTGGGTCTACACATTTGCTCCTCGCCATTAATGTGGCGAATCAAGAGAAACTCAGAGGCACACTGAGATTTTTCAACACACTCTTAAAAATAAGATTAAAAAGGGTTATGTACTTTTCCTCCCTGCTTTTTCTGACAGTCACAGCAGAAGAAAAACTGCGTTCTTTTCTACCACTGTTTGATTACAGCAAGGACACCAGAAACAACAAGCAGGATGTGCACGGTGGTGGCCACCCACGGACTCGGCGTGTTCTAGGCCTTTAGCTAGACCTGCTCAGGGAAGTATTTCAAGATACCAGCAGGCACAGCTGTCCCTAGACGTGAACAAGAGCCCTACTGCTTTCTCAGGCAATGCTGCGAGACCTGCAGACTGACCTGGGTTTGTATGAATACACTATTGGTTCTACAAGATGGGCATGAAAGGGAGGGATATCTACCTAATCCCAATCTTATCATAATGACTGCATTTTAAGACAAAACAGAGTTGGCACGTGGAAATAAATTCACAAGAAGCCAATAAACAAGGTAAAGATGCTCTAAGTGTTTGGTTCAAAGAATTTGAACGAGAACTTTGAACTGTTGTGAAACTCTAGCTTCATGTGTCTGTCTCAATTCCTAGTTCTTACGTTTTAAACCTATAATATTATGTAATGTGTATGTTTCAATTTTTTTCAAATTCTTAATTGAACTTAAAATTTCCACATTCTAAAATGGTAATAATTATTTGAGAATAAAACATCACAACAAAAAATGATTTTGCCTACTGCGATTGGAAACACACCTTTAAAAGAGCTTTGTCACTGTGATTCTTCTGGAAATACAGAATGCAATTTTGTTTCAAGATTTTAATTTGAATGTAGTTTCCTGGCAGCAGCAATGTCCTTCTTCATCTTGATGCACTCACAACTAGGGAAGTGTACTTACTGATCTCCTCCTCCGGGAGGCAATGGGCTCTCTATCTTTGTTTCCTGTCTCCCAGGTACAGTTAACAGGGCCAGAGGAAGGAACTACAATACTGATGGTGCTTATTCTACTCCAGACTGACTCCCACTGGAAGGACCAGCTCTCAAGGCCTGCAATGACTCAAGCAGTTGGAGGAGGACCGTTCTACACTGATGCTGTACGCACGCTTTCAAGAGAGCCCCAAATGGAGGGAACACGATGTACATGTTATGGCGACACTGGGCTATAGCCTGAGTCATTAATGTACTAATTTAGCTTTTTAGTATAACTGAATGCCACAAATAAGGAATCTGCAGACTGAAACAATCTAAAAACTTGTCAGATGCATACATCAACAAAGCACTAAATAGTTCTAATCATTATTAGCTGCGGCTTTCAATTTACCTTCTTCGCTACTCGATATTCTCTAAGATGGGAAGTAAAGGATTTTCATGCAAGAATAAGGAATAAAAGTAAATAGTAATTTTCTTGAGGGTTCTGGCCTGAATAATTTCTGATTAGATGATTAATGAAAAAGCTCACTTCAGATTCAGAGTTTACCTCTTGGGGGTGCAAAGTTATCCTTTTCTGGAGGAAAAAGCTCCCCTAGATCCTATATATTACTGTTGAGCCTCACTCATGTATGCAAATGCAAGGCACACATGGGTATTTAATTCAAAAGAGCACACAATCTGACATTATTCCTTTTGAATTTCAGCACAAATTAGGAAAGAATAATTAGAAATTTCATAAATAACTGTTTCATTTAGCAATATTCCAAAGCTAACTGATTTTGAAATGTAGCAATTTCAGCTTCACTTACTAACGTCTCCTTTCCTGAACCGGCTTGCGGTGTGCAGCTCCTGTCTGTATTCTGAGAGCTCAGAAAGAGCTAAACTCAGAATTTGCGGAGACTTGCCTTGGGGGACCTGAGGAATTCACTGTGGGGCCAGGGCACGGCCTGCGGGCTGAACACCCAAGGAATTTCCGCACTGCCTTTTCCTATCACGGTTCTTTCTCTTTACTCTTTACTTTATCTGTGCTTTGGGTTCTCACATCAGAGAAAGCATGTGACGTTTAAGCTGATTAAGGCTCTGATTTATGTCACTTAACACTACGGTCTCAAGGTGCAGCCATTTTCTTCCCAATGACTCAAATTTACCCTTGTTGCAATTTCCACACAAACTTTAAAGCAGGGGTCAGAGCCATTCTTAAAATTCATGGCATCTTGCTACTCTCACCATGCGTAGTTACGTTAGACAGAGTCCCAAATGCATACTCACATGTCCGTTTATTCTGAGCATCAATACATGTCTCTTGCCTCCAGCTTGAACTATGGGGGAAGGCGGTAGCTGCAAAGCCAGGGGGTAAGAAGCAACCTCTGCCATATCCCAAGATGCCACTCTGCCCTCCCAGGTTCTCTGGGGAAGATCTCCGTGCTACGGCTATGGCTACAGCAGCTGCAGAGGGAGCTGCAGTTCACGCTGTTACAGGGTAGACCCACAGCTCCTCTTAGAAGCAGGTGTTCAGGGGTACACTGCGGAGGTTGGCGGAGCAGGAGCACTGGGTGCGTTCAGGGCCTGCATGGTGTGCACGTTTGTCGCATACTCCCCCGCCTCATACATGCACTGTGCTTTTCACAGGCACTGTCTACACAGCCATCACCAACATCCAGTGCATGGGCTCTGACTGCACGGACAAATCCTCAT